CACATTAATAAATGCCAGATTGCCCCTCCTTGAAGTCGCAACTAGAGCGTAAGACTGAACAGTGCTTACAGAATATACCTTCTGAAAAGTAAGACTTTTCTAATTAAAAAATGTTTCTCCAATTTTCTAGAAGCAAAGTACCTATCTACAATTGGTATCAAATTAAACTCATGTCAGAATAATATGTCATTGCAATATTTTATCTCGCGCTTTAATTAAATATTCCACCGTAACTTTCTAATTTATAATTGAACAGAGACCAAAATTAACTGTTGTTACTTCACAGCTGTAATTCGAAGACCTTGTCTTTCTTGGCATTGTTCACAATGTACAATGACCAAACAATCGAATTCATATTGATTAATTTGCGTTTTTATTTATTGAGCGCGAATACTAAAAAGTCAGCGAATAAAAGTAAATACACTGTCAATAAATTCTAGTCTTGTTAATAGATGCTGATTTAAAGAAACATCAACTCGTTTTAGGAGTCTCTTCGGGTAAAAACAACATTATATTTATTATCCACACACGAAACTTTTACGAGCGGTAGAGTTAGCGTGGACGTGGCCGGGAACTAAATTCTTTAACATTCCTTTTTAACGACCGAAGCAAGATTGTTTCGCTTCTTCAAACTACTTCAAAGTGTACTAATCACTGTGTATTTCAAATCTGATTTTAAGGCACCATTAGAAACTACTACCTTCAAAACGCACGTTATTGACAATGTCTCGACTGTGTACTCTAAATGCCTTCATTATTCCCCCACAAGTTTCTACGTATCCCTTTAATACCTTCGCCCGAACTTTGCACTTCCAAAGTTGTAAGAACAATTAGTCATAAATAATTGAACATGGTCGATATTCCTTTGTAAGAAGACAAAGAGATGTCATACTCAAAACTTTGTCAATTTACGTTGAAACCGTAAAGCCCCTTACTAGCTCATGTCCTTACTTGGTAGAAAAGTGGAGGTAACATCAAGAGAACTTTCCACTCGAGGTACAGTCGTACTTACCTTGTCTAGAAAAGGATCAAACTGCGGTGCATTCTCCGCAATGTATTATGCAGTCCCGAAGCGGGTGCCAGTGTAAGCGGCTCGGAATCACTCCCACTCCCCTTCGAAGAACACACAGCTATTCCTTGAGAAGTATTTTCTATTCCAAAACTTTACGAAACCATTCCGTTTTAAATATATTTTGTGAGTTTAAGTTATTGATCTGCTTAACCACAAAACACATCCTTATATTGAAAACTAAAATCGGAGGTCGATATTTTCCTTCCACACACATGAAAAATGTATAATAGCCATTTCTAATACCATAGTTTCAAAGTTCCTTCGTCAGCATTCTTCCATTTCTCTCGATCAGGTATATACGAAAATACTAAAACTAAAAAGAGACTATCAGCAATCTCATTTTAATCGGATCATTTATCAAAAGTCAAGAGAGCGCACAATGGTAACTTACTGCATTTGAATGTGTAAGTGAAACGGTTCGATTAGGGCGATTGTGTGCCTTATAAAGTTAAAATCTTCTTTGGAACATGTTAAATGTAAAGTAGGGTGTACCTGAGCTGATAAACAGGCAATATTTCCTTACGGGTTTGTTGTCACAGCTATTTTAAATTTATGTGAATGTTGTGCCGATGTACAGAGCAAATGTTCGCCGGCTGGGTAAGCTAATCGCATCTCATTTCCTACGTGTCGCTCGTTGTAGTGGGAAGCACAAATGAGATTGTGGGTTGACGTGTCGTTCCGGAGACCCAGTCGCGTTCGACATCGCACCCGAAACCGCATCGCCATGCTACTTGATGTTTACAAAACATACCTTTGTCATATGGTTTTGTGTGAATTGTGTCATTGATTGATATTTTGTAAATACTTCATTGTATGGAAATATTTACTATTGAAAACTAAATAAAGTCCAAGTAAGTTTATGAGTAACAACTTCAGTGTTCAAGTATTATGCTTTTTATCAAAATCTATTTATACAAAGATTTTATTATTACATTTGTGAGACAATGAAAGAGGATTTTGGGCCCATTTCAGAAAGGTTGTTCCTGAAATGACCGCTCTCAAAATTTTAATTTTCGTTAACTTAAATTTTGTTGTAGAAAAATGTAACCGGAGAGAGTCAGTCTCGCAGTGTTTGTCTACTATTCAGTCAAATCTCGTCTACTCCAACGGGCGGTGGTCCTTTGACAGTTACGAGAAGCGCACTCGCTGCCACTTGAACTTTAGAAAGTTCATATCAGAACTAAACTTTATTGCTATATAAACACGTTCCATCTTATGTATAATACTCGTCAATCAGATCACTCCACCAGGTTAATAGTAAACGAAGGTCAATTTAGTTAAATCGCAATGAACGGCTTTTCGAACGAATAGAGGTCCTTTATCGCGTTTCACGCAACTTTCCTCGACCGGCTCTCTACTTACACGATTAATTTGAGTCGATAAATCCGCATTAAAAGCGGAGCGAGGGGGCAGCCAACCGCGCCGGTCTGTGTAAGTAGCCCCCATTCCGACCTTTTTGTTTTCGCTACAGCCACTTGTTCATAAGGAACTCTTTAATCTATTATCGCTCCACTATCCTAAGTGTAACATATCGTGACATGTCATAAGTGAAACGTTTTCGTAGCTGGTTATCGATCGGAAATTGGTAAGGTCTAAATGTCGGTTTCATACGGTCTGGCGGGCGGGCGCACGTCACTGGCCGCCGAGACAGACAGGCAGCGTGCGCGGCGCCTGCGAGCCCATTAGACGTCTGCCCGATGTGGAACGCTCGATAAACTTGTAAAAACGCCTTCTACCCATTTAATTTTATATCCTCGCTTAAGCTTTGCTATTGGCAGATTTCTTCCTTCTTTTTATGGTTCCGTCATTAACTGTATCGTGCGTCTATTATTTCTCGCTTGTTTAATCCGTTCGTTAATGTCGACCGTTGCTTCAGACGCAGGCATTCGCAGTGAATTTATAAGAATTCTATGTTTATACACCTTTACAATCATTTAATAATCAAATATGAGGCATATACCTATCAATATGTGTGTTCATATTGAGTAACGAGCGTGCAGGTTAAGCGTCACTGAAATAAATGTGCGCGGGAATAAAAAATAAAAGTTTTGATAGCAATAAACTTTAAAGTTCACATTTAGAACGAACGCCAATGCCACACCTCAAACGGGGGAAGTGATATTGGTACAAAATATTTATGACTTTATGTGATAAAGTTTATGTTGCGGTAAGAGTTTTATTTCTCTCGTGAAACGACTATAACTTTTTCAAATAACGTAATATAAAATAAGGGAATATTGGCCAATAAAATAAAATATTTTCATCAGATGTATGCTCTTAACGTTAAATATTTGTATGATCATAATGATCAAATTGAGTGCCACTTTTCTGAATCATCGGCTTAATTTTTTTAAATGATCATAATTATATAAATGTTGTATACTTTTGTTTCTCACGATTTTCCAACGAAATACCGATTTGGTTGCCTACTGTTCCAATCTCATATCAATTATCATATCATGAAATGTTAGTCGTGTAACAATTTTTAAAGTCTGTAACTTTTAAACCCACTTGCGATTGAATAATGAAACCGACGACAGAAAGTTAAGCCATATGAATTAAAATAATGAAGTAATTTAAAACGTAGTGCTGACATAATATATTTTGTGATACATTGGTGAAGTTTGAAAATGCTAACATATTTATCACATACTGGCGCAGTGAAGTCACTTACAAACAAATTGATAGCAGATACTTGTACAATTACTGTATTCAATATAAACTTTCCACGTGAAATGGATTCTCAAAGGCGACATATTCAACGATTAAATGCTTCTAAACTCCTAATTAGAATGTAAAGAGAACTTCAATAATACTTTGCCGGTTGTCGGGGCACGTACGCGAACTTTTATTCAGCGAATTTGGTTACGTAATTCGTTGGAAATATTCAAGTTTTCCCTTCGGCGAGACGTTATCGCGGGCGGGCTCTCAACGCGGGCGTGGGCGGGCAGCCGCTCCCCGCGGGGACTTAATTTGTTGCTCTCCTGGCGCCTCGCATCTCACTTTCAAACGGCGTAACGCGACCTTACCACTTCCCCTTCTCCGACACCGTGTAGACATCATGTTCGCTTGCGCCCCGGTTTGGCTAGATCGAACACTCTATCTGAAGTACCTTGTACTATTCCATATTTATTATTCAGATATTGGAAGTTGGAACGAAAATATAACTGCTATCCGTGTCTCGACGGTGTTTCAGCCGCTCTTACTGTAAGTCTCACAAATCAATGATGTGTGTTAATCATAAACATGTTGGAAAATTAATAAGATTACTTTCTTAAAGCGACATCTGTAGCAAGTTAATTTATAACAATGAAAAACTTGTATATCTAGCATTCCATAATAAAATACTTGAGAAACGCGTTCATATTATCTTGAATTCGATATGTGTATACCATAGATTCGCGTGGCACAAGCAGCGCGACAATCTAATCACAATACCATAAAGGAGTGCACCGTAAAATATTTATGGGTGCGGGAGCAGGCACGCTCCGGTACCCGGCTCCACCACGGGCCATCTACCTCCATCAACCTCGACGATAGTTCTGTATACCTTACTACACTCCGTAATTTTGTTGTTCAATGCAAATTTTGGTTTAGTAACGTCTAAACACGAATCAATTGTTTATTTTTACGTATTGTCAAGTTCTGAACCACCCCACACACCTTACCTCAAGCCAAATACATCGTCCCCTTGTATTTTCAATGGCATAATATCTGAATATCATTTGAAGTTTCATATAAAGAAATTGAGTGTGTGGAGAGCTCAATTAAGTAAGTCCTGGGACTGGTGTGGGCGCAGTGCTCGTTACACACCCGCTCAAATTGGCGCCGACCACTGAACTGTAACGATAATGACGCCGCGTGAGTTGTGCCCCATTCGTCCACTAACGTAAGCTAACTCCTCTCATGGGAAGCCCTAAAAGCCACTTCATACGAAGTATGTACTTCCACATTTGGCAGTCTCGCAAAACTTTGTGGTTTTTGTGGCACATAAACAACTAGCACACGTGTGCGTCCGACCGCGTATCGATTGATTTGACTTAAAATGCATAGTTTTGAGCCGCGATGTCGATCGGTTTCCGCCAAATTTTCCGCTGCGGGCGCTTGGCAACCGCACTTGGTGGCACGCCACAGTTACCCATACAAATTGAGAGGTTAACGTGGTAGACATTGCGTCAACTTGCACAATAGCAGAACACAACATTCCACATTTATTCATACTTGCCATAACTCCAATCGCGGAACGTATATTGGCAACACTCATAATCATAGTGCGCGCGATCAACCACTGAAAGCTTTTTGAAAGCTCGTAGTGACGCGCGATGAAAGGTTCATGCGGTGATTTCAAGCGAGTCATTGTGGCCCGACAAGCGAAGTGACAGCGATGTTTGCTTTCTAATGTATCACAAACATTCTTGTATTGGATCATCCTACGCACCTACAAGGATCTAATATTTAAATTTTGAGTAAGCCTACATTGAAAATAAATTTTTCGTTTTAGAAACTACTGAAATAATAAACAGGCAACAGTTACAGAAAGTTCATATTCCTTTGCTATCGAATACGTGATAAATTGCTAAATAATGCGCCCTCTGTCGTCGTTCTAACCCCACCCCTAATGTCTTCTTAATGCTGCATGGAGTTGTCACATTGCACATTTTGAGCTGGCGTTTGTTCGTTCCGTTGTGCCGAAGGTATTTACGGTTAGCTTCCCTGAAATCTTTTTGCACATTCTCACTACTGAAATATATTTGTACAGTGAATGCGTACACAAATATTAAAGATGTTCAGCGCATGAGACGCTTGCGTCATCTGGAATATTCTGTAAGTGCACGGAGTTGGTTAAGTATGAAAAGCTCCATTTGAACGCAAGTTTTTTTCTTCGTTTTGCTTGTGTCGGCTCGCCGCGCGCTCCTTTGTTCCACGAACGTGATCTGGCCGAGATGAATCCAACGGACGGCATAGCTTCGTTCCTTTCTTCAATCGAGTTTGTTTCTGCTTGCCACACTTGTGCTGCTTTGCGTACAATTGAACTATTTTCTTGAACTACAAAACTAAGTATCATTTTCCAGGTCACACTAGAATACTATAAACTTCTCGGTTATCCTTATCCATTTGTTTTCGCTAGGTGTATGACGCAAAAGCATAATATTTTTGAAAAATTAGTTTCACTGCATAATTCATAATACGATTTATTATTCTTGCAATACAGAGATGAAATAATAAACGGCATGTGGTCTAACTCTTTTTGTTTGTCCTAGTATGCTTAATCTGTCAAACACCAAGCGGTCACCGGTGACCGCGACCTATTGTTCTTTAATTGTGTCTATAAAACCGGTACTCGACGAGTTAAATGCTTACAAATTCCGAAAGTAAATATTTCGAAGAAGAAATAAACACGTTGATGTCGCCTGAAAGAGGTTCAAAAGTTTTTCAGGGTTCAGATTTGTTTTTTCTGCGTGCTAGACTTCAAGCCGTCGTAACATCCCATAAATTATTCGTGTGAAAAACTTTTAAAGCTATTATAACTCTTTTCCATAAGTATAAATCTCGGCATTCGAATTTCCAATATTAAGTTAGTCTGAGCTTATTTTGATACTTCAATGAAATGTGTAGGCCCTGAAATGATGATGATGTAAATATCGTCTTAACCACCGAAATCAATGTTGCCGTTTAAATAAAACTTTGGCGCCCACTCAAAAGACGCCATGTGTACTAAATTTAACTCAACTAATTAAACAATAAATGTTGTGTGAAGCGTATTCACATGTCACAACACAGTGGCGCATGGCGCCGGATCTGTTGTAGGCGATACACGCTGGAGCAGTTATCTCAGTATCGCCTGACTACGCCCGTTGTGGCCGCCATGTTTATTTTTAGTCTCGCGTGTACATTCACTATTGCGATGAAATTTACAGCGATCGCCGCGGCTCGCCGCTCGCCGGACTCCGATACCGACGCTTCAAATGACAAGCTACCGCTATTTCAAAAATGTCTGCTATTTTACGCGAGAATTCCCGCTCTTTCGATGAGCAATAATTCTTTTGTTCAACGGGTAAAAGGTCCATGAGCTTACTTTTATTGCGTGGTATTAGAAGGAAACGCTTTGGGTTCAGGGGACGTTAAAAGACTACAACGATCCAATTAAATTATTTACTAACCTTGAAAGGCTATTAATTATTTAAGGTTATTGTTACCGGGAAACACATTGTGTGATGCGCTTTTATGAAATTTCAGTACAGTTAAGTAATAAAGTCTTCAAGACTTGCAGAGGGTCTTTATTAATACTCACTGGCTCACTGGTGACAAAAGATGTCGTCGCGGCGGCTAATACCCTTGTTCGTCAAAATAGCATTACCCGGACGGTGGCGCTGGTGGTGCGAGGTCCCCCTGTCAGGCTGAGATTTGGCGTAACTTAGTGACTGATTAGCAATTGGTGTGAGCTGGCGGGCGCGGACGCGACAGGTGGTCGGGGTGCGGGGTCTGACCCGCGGCCTCTCGCCTGATTGATGGCCACGTCCCGTTCACGCTCTGACTAGCCAGCCATCTTACATTTGATTTGCACTTCGGCTCACCAGAAACATTCTCTGAGTATACGCTATATATTAGCTTTTCTATAAATTGGTAACGGAAATTTTCTGAGACAACATCGCGGTAAAAGTTGTTATCGCAACAAATAATACTGATAATCACTAACAAAATACTCATTTTATATTGAAATACGTAACAGCAACTTCACGTTTACGACCAAGGTTACATTAAAGGATGTCTATCTGAAGACTTATTGAGCTTTACTTCCCCTTTTACAAATAATTATTATTATCCTGACCACAAAACATCAATTCAAAATTTACTTGACGTGAACTTCGGGAAGTGAATCGAGCGTCACGCAATTGTCAAATGTCGATTGTTGTACCGGAGCGGTCCCACGCTCGGAGAGCGCGGTCTAATAACCCGAGGTCAAGTCTTGGCTCATGCATATTCACAGGCGACGGTGAAGTCGCCGGTGGCTCATCTGTAACGGTCCTGCGACCGACCGGTTGTATGAGCTCATTGTTGCATGTGCCCACATGGTCGCCGCGGTCGTCCTATTCGTCCTGCGCCAGCGCCGCAACTCTTGCAAACTATTACGAGTATTGAGTGTTTACGTCATACCACATATCAACATTATTTGAACAAGTTTTTTTACTAGTTAATACAGTATTTTACAGATCTCTATCAATGTAATCAAGAGAATAAAGTTATACCGGTTACGCAATTAATTACGCCGCCAATAATTGGCTCTTGCGTTATTGACAGCTCGCACTAGTGGGAACAAAATACTTGTGCGAATTACATTATACCACTTTTTACTGTCGAGTGTCGGGTTATTAAGATTACAAAGCCAGGGTCAGTTGTTAAACGCCGTCGGTATAAATTATTTATATTATAATTAGGTGCCAGTAACAACCGCTATAAGGGTGCATGTGTAATTTGAAATTCGTTTTTCTTTGCATGTAATATTATGACATTATTTGATTGAAATAAACGGATATGCGTAGGCGACAAAACCCTTGTTATATTGCGAACGTTTTTGAATTGGCCACCTGTTATTTTTTTTAATACACGCAGGTGATGGATTACTCCCTCCGTTGTACGTTTATTTTGTTATTGTGATGGATTTATTAGACTAGTTTTCGTTTTTTGTTGTCAGTAATCGATGCCTGGTTATGATATTCACTCGTCAAACACTATTCCAATATTTTGTCTATGTTGCTCAACGGAATTGACTGTTAGTTTATTGTTGTATTAAAAAGCAATTTTCTTTTTTACAAATTGTCATTTGACTATAAAATTTAGATTGGTCATGTTTTTACTGGCTGCTCTCGCCCGTGAGCCGTATCGAATTTGTTCAATGTCGATTCTGAGCCGGAACAAAACACTACGTTGCGTCAGATAAAGTAATTCGAATAAGTCTCGATTTTAATTCGTTGTAACCGATTATAACAACCATTACCGACTGTGTTCGACATTTCATTTTCTTTAGATACAGTTATATGGAGTATGAAATTGTGTTCCCATTGTTTTGCCAAACTTAATCCAACTTATAACATAAGCATATCAAATCAAAATTATATTTTCAAGTTATAATTTTATACTTGGGAATCGGTCGGATTATATAGGATCTAGAAACGTATTGTATACCGAATTATGTCCAAAAAGACCACTAACTCTTGACGTGGTTATTTTTTAAAAGTAACAGTAAGCAAAGATAATGCAGCAATGCACTTTACATTTTGAAGCATCATTAAATAGCGCATTACACGGACCGGGCGCGTCGAGAGGCAATTAAAAAAGAACTGCTAAGACGAAGCTCGTAAAAATGAAGTCGTGTTCTCAACTGATTAAAAAGTCTGCTCTAATCTTGTGCACGTTAAATTTTTAATCAAATTCGTTTATCTCGAACGACCTTAGCGCCTTATCTTTGACCCAGAATGACACTCATAAAGAGATAATTAACTTGTACGCAAAAAGTATTTCGACAGATCTGCAACATTGCAGGTGTGTGTCAGATATCAGCAACTATGCAGAATACTTGACTGCAAACGATTTTATGTTACCACACTCAGGGCAGGATCGAAGTTTCACAGATAATTCCAGCTTCGGGATTTGCTGCCGAGATCTATCAATTAACACGCAAACTCCATCGGCTTTCAGGTGAATGTCAATTAATGTCAGAGTCTGAGGAGCGTCGTCCGTAGAGAGAATATAAGAGCTGCTACACCGATAGATAGTGCGATCGACTATCAACAAGTACCTTATGCGACAGCTACGATAAAATTACCATATTAATATATCTTGTAGGCAGCTCGATAATATCGTTGCTTTTAAAAGCAGTAAACATGATAAAATGATGAATTTATGTAGAAACAACAGCACCAGAAGGCCAAATGTGGCATAAAACTCGGATGTACAAGATTATCTTACTATTGTTCTCGAGTTACTGAGGTACAAGCCAGACTGAATTACTTGTGATAGGAACTACGGCTGTTATTTTAATGCGCTTTATTTATCCGTGGAACAATATCAACTTTATATTTTATCTTAATTGAATGTAAAGTATCAATTCTTATTATGAAGTTAATCTTAATTGCTTCGTTTCATTCGTATACAGCCCTATAACTAGTTAGTGGAAAGTAGAGCGAGCATATAGTGGCAAACAATATCATATACCCTTCATGAATAGTGATGGATATTGCACATCCAGCCATTTACATAGTGGTACCGACAACCTGATTGATTGATGGCGAGTGACTCTTACTGCTTGTTATCAAACAGTTAATAAATCAACCGTTCCTCCTTGTTATTTATAGACCTATTTATATCCAATAAGATGCTTGCTCCGAGTACCTTGTGTCAAAGGGAATTTAGTATAAAACCATTTTAAGA